TTCGCTGAAACTTTGTCTATCGATGTTATTCGATGTCCTGATCACGAGTGTGACATCATTTTCCATACCAGCACTATTTAGCGTCTCTACCGTGCAAGGAGTCAAGGATAGTCGAATGCAAGCGCCCTTTAACCGCCTGATCGCGTCCGCATCAAGAGAGAGTCCATCCTACGAAAGTCAGAATCACAATAAAAGCAATCCGTTTCTCAGTACAATTACTCCATTCCGCTGGTTTACAAAGCAAATATTCACTGATTCGGCTCACATTTACTTAACTACTAATGGCCGACCACCAGCATACCTAGGAGACTTGGCAGGCGACATAGTTGTGTGAAATATCCAACAACAACCCCAAGGGATACAATAACTAATAATGAATAAATGGAATTGGCGTAGTTATTTGACGTCGGAACAGTCGGCGGCTCAGAAAGTGACTTGTTGTGCACCGAAGTTTCTATTACAGCACTGCTAGAGATGAATGCAAAAATAACAAATACAACGTAAGCCGCAATTATCCCTTATCATTTGCTAAGAGAATGAATGCAAAAAGAGATACCGCTGTTCGTTATGGCTGCTCATTTTTTCTGTTTTCCCCTGTTCACAAAATCCAGAGAGGGCTTGATGATGACCGAAAAAAAGAATGTCGAATTTTTAGTTAAGCGAGAAGTCGAAAACTATGCCTATCGTGTGTGTACAGTAAGGGGAGGTTATAATTAGGACCCGAAGTACGCCGCTGAGTCAGCGAATTTTCTTCGACGCGCATTGTGAGCCAGCATGGCAGGTTGACTTCCTTTCCGATTTCTGCTTCTATGGAGCGTGAGCTGAACTCATTTCGTAAGGGACACATTTTCATAGAACTGATTTGTGCACGCGAATCGTGTTTCATTACCTACACTTTGCGACACAAACTAGCAGACTTTTCTTGCTTGTTGCAAGAGTATCAGTTGATTTGGCGCAACGCAGCGCTGCATCAGCTGATTCCCGGTGCGAATGACGCGCACGTGACTACGCTTGCGACACCCCTTCCGCTGATCCCGTGACACGATGGAGCTAACGGAACAGAGCTGCACAAACACGGATGTTCCAAAAGACATTAATTGACCTAGAACACCCACCCGCAGCGCACCGAGTGCCCACGCAAGAAAGAGAGTGTAGGGTGTGCATCGTAATCACTGCACTTTAGCATACAGTATCACAAATTCCAGTTGCACGATGTGTTAACACGTTGACGACGGTGGCAGACAATGGTGTCTGCCAGTATATTTTCTAAGAATAAAGATGGACGAACAGCCAAGTTTGTCGTGAACGTGTCCCTGGGGGGTAGCTTGTCCCTCTGAAATGAATACCACAGCTGCTTGGCACGAACTACCTGGCGCCCGCGCCACAGGCGCCGACGGCCCAAATACCGTAAATCACCGAATCGGTTGAAAACTTGGCTCGTGCAGTAGTTTGACGCCGTGAAGTACGAATACGCGATAATCGCTTGCGCCAGAGACGGCAGTTAGGCGCCGCGCAAGGCGGCCGGCGTCAAAATACCGTAAATACTCAATTTTAGCTGAAAATTAGCGCCTAGTAGTTCGACCCCCTAAAAGCAAGTAATATTTTAATCCAACGATTAATGCCGTTGAGCGATGATTTCTTTGCAATAAGTGGACGAAGCCACTTTTGTGTTGTGGGACGGCGGCTCCCGATGCTGTCGGCTAGAGTTATTATATAACTCAAAGTCTGCGCAATTGTTTCATTCTCATTAGATCAAGAACAAACATTCTGAGCCAAAGGGGAAGCAATAATATCTTCAGGAGGTCAAACTACCCCGGCAGACAAATTTTCAGCCAAATCTACCTCCAGAGGAAGAAGTTGGTAAAAAATGGCCTGGTTTTGGAAGATTGGAGCAATAAAAGCTAAACTGTGTCAAAGATTTGAGATTCGTGTACTCGTATCTTGCATTTCTTGAACATTTTGACAGTAGCCATTCAGTTCAAAAATTACTAAGCTTCTACGAAGAGAAACGTGGCGTCCGGGCTTTAAAGGGACAATTCATGAAAGAAACGGCTCGTCGTTAACGTGTTAAATGAAAGTAGCAACGAACATTCATTATAAGCAAAAATTAGAAAGAAAAGACTAAAATCGAATTAAAACTGCGACTTACATACCTTTTCCCACCTCTCCGCATCTGATGCCGGAAATGATTCGCCTCTTTATGGCTTGTTCAATAGTTTCTGTCAGTAATAGTCCAACGTGTCCTCATGGTAGGGAGGGCTCCCCGAGCTGGATTCGGTGGTGACGGGAAGTTTTGACATTCATGTGATTGCACGGCTTTTCACTAAAATATCGACGAAGCTGCTTCTATTCGAGATCATATTGTTAACAACATCTTGATTAACATAAGACGTCTGCCACATTGGAATACCAACAGAATCTCACAAAGGTAGCAGATACGGAAAAAGAGCATTGAAGGAGCCTCATGCAATCGGATTTAATGGCAAATCTCAAATCAAAAGAAATAAATGACAGACCTGTTTAATGACTTGCTTCTCATTTTTAGGCGGAGTTGACTTGTCTTTACGATGTTCATTGATGTACTCCGCTATTATAACCCACCTATCAACAGTTCCCGCTGGATAAGTGTTAGATGCCTACAATCAAAATGTCCTCCAAAAGAAAACATCCCCCGACAGCGCTTCCTGAACTTGTGTTAAAACGCACCTTTACTAGAAGTTGGATCTCATCACTAGTCCAAACTGCAGCAGACTTATCCGTCTCTTTGATTTTATCTCCACCTTTCGAATCAGCCTTTGCGGCAGCGTTCCGCTTTGACTCCTACAATAAAAGTTCTTGTCAATAAAAATTAACAAAGAGGGAAGTGCCCAAAGGGAGAATCTCCCAAGGAGCGCAGTAAAATACTATAACGAAACGCCAGTTTCAAAAATGTGAAGGTTCCTTCATAGCATACATGCTATGAGCGGCAGTGTTGTTTCGCGTACTATCTCAGCAATTCCGAGCTGAAGAACGTTTGGCGCAAATAACCTTGGGTTATAGGAGGATCTTCAAATAGGTCGTGCAAGTCAAGTTAATTGCAATTAATGAGGATTTTTTCCTAGGGGCCGAAAGGAGTACAGGAAGCTCCAAGTACGGGCGGAATTCATATTAGGCCAGCGTTCTATAGCTTGCGTTCGTGAAGAAATGCAGAAATGCGGAAAATGCAGAAGTGCGGAAAGTGCAGAAGTGCGGAATCTGCAGAAAAGCAATAGATACTTATCGACTTGAAGAAATGCAGAAATGCCGAAACTGCAGAAGTGCGGAAAAGTGCAGAAACGACGAAAACATTAGAGCGCGTTCAGGAACTTCGTCGATGCGCTGTGATCGCGCTGATCTCCGAATCGCGCTACTGTGGGTGAAATTACACCGGGGGTCATGTTCGTTCATGTTCAACTCAACTCAACAAACAACAACAACAAAGTTCTGGGAAGGGAGTCGTACTGATATCACCATTTCTCACATCACGATGCTGTATCCTGCCTCCAATAGGGCAGTTCCAAAAACGATATAAAAGTGAGTTCGACCTTTTTTGATGTCTTTTAGACCGTGTTCATATTCGCAATACTGACGATTTGCAGAAACCGTCGAAAGGAAAGGTGGCATAGACCCTGGGAAACAAACAAAGCAAACACAATGTGACAAAAGTAAAGTGAATATCTGGAGGACTGGCAAAATCGGGGAAGGGAGAGAAACAACATCACCGCTGTTGAAAGTTCTGCGTGTCTTACTTTTTGGAACAAGATGTTCAATACCCCGCTTGAACGTACTCAGATGCAAAATTTCAGTTATAGATAATTAGCATATGTATATTTAGCTATTATTTTTTAATAAAAACTATAGGCCGGGGAACATACTAAATAACTCAAAGATATTTCGAAACGTTCCTAAATTAGGAGGGCGTTATGTACACAAAGGAAGAAAGAAGGAAGAGGAAAAAAAAGAACAGGAACAATACAATATTGAACAGAATCATGACCCATGCCCGGTGTAATTTCACACAGCTAGCGCGACGCCAGGATCCGCGCCGGTCGCTGTGATCGCGCGATCGACAGGCGATCGCGAAGTCTGAACGCGGCTGCTTACATATGTATCGATTTGAAGAAATGCAGAAATGCTGAAAGTGAAGAAGTGCGGAATCTGCAGAAATGCCGAAAGTGAAGAAATGTGGAATCTGCAGAAATGCCGAAAGTGAAGAAGTGCGGAATGTGCAGACATGCGGAATCTGCAGAAAATGACGAAAAGCAATTCATACGTATCGATTTTCCGCACGTTCGCATTTCTGATTCCGCACTTCTTCACTTTCGGCATTTCTGCATTTCTTCAAATCGATACGTATCTATTGCTTTTCTGCACATTCCGCACTTTCGGCATTTCTGCACTTTCCGCACTTTCGGCATTTCTGCAGATTCCGCACTTCTTCACTTTCGGCATTTCTGCAGACCGCATTTCTTCAAATCGATACGTATGTAATGCTTTTCGTCATTTCTGCACTTTCCGCACTTCTGCAGTTTCGGCATTTCTGCATTTCTTCAAGTCGATAAGTATCTATTGCTTTTCTGCACTTTCCGCACTTCTGCATTTTCCGCATTTCTGCATTTCTTCACGAACGCAAGCTATGAACGCGGCCTTAATGCGGTTATACGGCGCAAGTGGGCTTAGCATTTTGCTGGATTAACATCAAAATTGCTGATGCTGGCTGAGGCTGTTTCTCTTGGCACTCCGAAAAGGCTGCGTGCCGAGCTTCGCTCACCAGTTGAAACAGTCTACTCCCCACCAAAGTGATCTTTACTTTGCCTGAGCTGGCTAAAAACTAACATATGTTAGAAAAAACTGTTCGCCGCTCCCATGCTGCACATGGTAATGTATATTCTGATCGAGATTTATTAGCAATTTTGGAGGCAGGGAGTCATTTGATTGTCACCATACTCTCCTCCCACTCCGGGTGATTGGCGCCGGACATTTTACCTAAACTCACCGGGCTCAAATCAAAGTATTTCCCAGGCCCAATGGGAAAACAAAAGAGAAAAGCAATAAGGAAAAGATCCAAGGAAGATCGTGCTTGCTTTAAGCATACCAACGCAGCCTTGCAGATGCAGGTGCAATCAAACCGGTTGGGCGTAGGCAAGAAGGGGTTAAATACGGAAGACTCGGAAAAGAAATACTCCTGACCGCGAGCGCAGATATGCAACCCCACCTCCAGCATTTGCAAATAGCTGCCAACACGTCTTCCCGTGAGTTTGCCTTTTCTATCAGATCACACAGGGACGCCATTTCATCGGCTGACAAGGAAAGACACAACTAAAAATGAACTGTTTTTGGATCCACGAGAGGATGCAAAAAACCAGTTTTACCCTTTCAACACGCTCCATCTCAGCTAGCTTCTGCGCTGCATTCTCTGACCAATGATTAGCAGCTTCAGCCAGCTTCTTGAACCTTTTTCGCTGAGCAGCAGCAGCTTTCTTTAGCAGCTTCCTTCTCCTTCCTTTCTCGCTCCTTAAGAAAATGCTCGTCTCCCAAAACTGCTGGTAACAAACTGTTGCAATCAAATGTAAATAGCACTCACTCGTTCTTCCCTTATGAGTCTCTCCTGCTCTTCTTTTGCCCTCATTTCAGCCTCTTCCTTCTCCCGCTTTTCCCTCTCAGCAGCTTCGGCTTTCTCTCGTTGTTTTCTCTGTTTCTCCTCTTTAGCTTTATTCTTCATCTGAATATGGATACAGCTTTCAGAACAGTGAAATGGAATTGAAATTCTTTCCTTCCAAAATGATAAAAAATCGATTTGGCTCAGAATTCACACCTCCTGGTCTTCCTTCTTGAACTTGGCTATGCGAGGATCTTTAGAGTACGCCAGTTCAACAAGCCGTCGTATTCGTTTGGCCTCTTCTTTTCTCCGTCGCTCTCGCTCTGCCTAAAGTTTAAGGACAGACGTTAGAAAACCATAGAACAAAAATAGAAAAAAAACACGATATTACTCTAAAAAGTAGAAGCACAAAAAAATTGCAGAAGGACCATCAAAGTTGTACCTTATTTATCTTCTCCAGTTCCCTCCTCTCATAGCGATCTTCGCCTTTTTCTTTGTCTTCTTCATCCAGATATGAAAACTCTCTCCACGATGAGAAATCGAACCAAAAATTATAAAATGCTTCTACATCGGTTCTCGGAGAGTCAATCTTGCCCAATGATGGCACTGGTTGTCGAGTAGACCACCTAAAGTCAAGCATCACTCAAAAAAGATGTACGTCATCGTAATAGAATCCACAAAGTCGTCTTGGGAGTTGTTCTGGGCTGCTGGAGAAAGGAATCAGGCCGCGTTCATACTACGCAACTGATAGATTTAGCGAACTGAAGGACTGAGCGACCTGGCGTCCTGATAGATCGCCGAAGCGCCGAATTTTCGTAATCGTTAGCGTCCGCCGCCGATCAGTATGCATCCACTCCTTTGGCGCACAAATGCCGGAAACGCTGGGACGCACATCGTCGGATTGCTCAATCTGCACAGTCGCCAGATCGATGCCTAAATTTCCCTCGCGCAGTCTCAAATAGCCAAGTCCCTCGGATCGGCGAATCTTCTCAGCCACAAAGTACGAACGCGGCGTAAAGTAATAGTGCAGGAGAATAAAGTGGCTGTATAAAGGAAAATTTTTTCGTAATTCCCCCCCCCCGCAATACACCCCGTATAGGAAGAAAGTGGAAAAACCGAAAAATAATACTAAAAAGCGAAACACACCGTGAATTCCGCTCGAAAACCGGAGCTAACTCGTTGAAGAAATTATCTTTGTTCACAGATTTTTCACTTGGTATAGCATCATTGAACTTGTGATCAACGGAATCATAGGCCTGTCGCTTTGCTTCTGACATACCAAGTTGCTCGTACGCCTGAAATTTTTTTATATATTCACTTGTATAAGTTCACTGGACGCACCAAACACGTAAATTGAAGGGTTAGGAGTCACACAAACGAAAATGATCATGTAGAACGGAAGAACACAGCGTCTACTTGCCCGCCCAGGCACTTAGTAGGGAGGAACAAAGGAAGATGATATATGGAAAACGAGTACGCCTGAAAGCAAGCTCCTCGTGTAATGCCTAGAAAATTCAGCAATGGTGCCCTCCGTAGCACATTGGGAGACACCACTACACCGATATCTCTTTGGATTCGAAATAGAAAGGGACGCTGTTTGATTTAGAGGGCATTTTGCACTCTCGCTAGTCCCTTTTGTTCTCCATAACAAGCCCTACTTTGGTGGAACTTGCAAACACCTGCGAGGCTACGAAACGGTGCGAACGAGCCATTTCGTTCGCAGGAACAAAGAGGTTTCACAAGGTGCCCTGTACCACTCGGTGCCTTCCCCCTTCATCCTCACTATGCTCGACTGGGCCTAAAAATGCTTATAAGAAGAGCTCTAGCCGAACGAAATCAAACTAACCTTTGTAATACAAGTGAAGTAGTCTTCTCCTGCTGGCAGCACCTCTCCTCTATGTTTTTTCTTGTCAGGATGATACTTCAACACTTTGGCACGATCTGAAGCAGAGGATATATCAGTAATCAAGGGACAAATTAGGAAGTATTAAATAGAAGCAGGACTAACAGCACGTTCTAATCTCCGCTAATGTCGCTTTGAAGCGAAGCTTTGACAATCCCAACACCTTGTAATGATCCTGATTCTTTGTATCATTCGGATCCAACTTCATCAAATATCTTTCGTATTTCTCATCATCGGCATCGTACCATGAACTGCGATCTTCGTTAATATCAATCTGCAACAGAACGATTATTTAATTACCGAATACCTTAACCTGTAGCCTTTGTGAAGTAGCAGAAAGAAATATAACTCACCTCATCAGGAGAACTGTCACCATTCTCATCTTCAACACTAGACTTCCTGAGTACGGGTCGAGTGCATTTTCCTAAGGTTATTTTATCTCGAATCACTGAACACTCGTATGAATGTCCAGCCTTCTCTACTTGTTTTGTTCGAGGTAGAAACCCGTATAATGCCACAGCAAGCGACAAGTCGCCCCCGGACATTTCCCTGAAATCACAGTTGCATTGGAAATAATGTGAGCTATAATGGGCTTAGATTTACAATCGTTTTCGCTGCAGGTGATGGAGTGTGTAGGCACGGCGCCAGCCCTTTTTCAGGACTTGCTGTGGTAGCCCGCTTCAAAACGGTGGAGTACGGAAATGGCTACGCCCCAAATCCAGTAGAAGAAAGGGACTGGCTCTGCCTCCCCCTCCCCTCCCCTGACACGCCCCGTCCTCTACAGCGAAAACGACTGTACATCTCGCGTCCGGTCGAAAACGTATTACATAAGAGATTTCACCTGAGATATCTTTAATAACGACATTTGCGCAAG